TTGCTTAAGGTAGAAACTTAGATCATCAATTTTATATCCTTTTTCTTTTGTATAAAAGCATTTGAAGATGCAAATTTCTAAGCACTTATCTCATCCATATCCTGGCATGTTTTAATTGCCAATCAGTTAAAAAGATTCCTAATTTTCCTTATAATTTCCTTTTTGATCATGGCTTATTTAAAATATGTTGTTTAACTTCCAAATTTCTATGGATTTTTCGAGATAAACTGAAGCCTGCACACTACAATGAAGAGCCCATGTGCCACAATAAAGACCCAGCACAGCTAAAAACAAAATTTAAAAACAAAAATGCAGGACTTAAAGGGACCTGATTACAAACGGGGTCCTGACTAATGTTCAAATTATACTGAGTTCACTGGTTCTGTGGATCCACCTAAGAGTCACTTTTCTACTTGTCAAGTATACTGGAAGTCGGATCTATTCACTACCACTACCACATTGCATCTACAGCTTGTGGGATAAAAACTATCATACTGAGAAGGCCAACTGGAAGCCTCTGAAACTGTCCTCCCTCCAGTGAAGACAGTAAATTAGAACAATATTGATTAGATATGACAAGAAAAGCACAAGGAACCAAACATCATGAAAATGAAAAACTTCTGTGCTTCAAAGGACACTATCAATAAATTCAAAAGACAACTCACAGAATGGGAGAAAATTTTTGCACATCATGTATCTGACAAGAGACTTGTATCTAGAAATAAAAAGAACTAGGACAACTCTGAGAAGGCAATGGCAACCCACTCCAGTACTCTTGCCTGGAAGATCCCATGGACAGAGGAGCCTGGTAGAGTGCAGTCCATGGGGTCGCTAAGAGTTGGACACAACTAAGCGGCTTCACTTTCACTTTTCACTTTTCACTTTCATGCATTGGAGAAGGAAATGGAAACCCACTCCAGTGTTCTTGCCTGGAGAATCCCAGGGATGGGGAAGCCTGGTGGACTGCCATCTATGGGGTCGCACAGAGTTGGACACAACTGAAGCAACCTAGCAGCAGCAGGACAACTCAATAACAAAATGATAAATAAACTAATTATAAGACAGGCAAAAGACCTGACTAGACATTTCTCCAAAGAAAATATACAACTGGCCAATAAGCTCATGAAAAGATTCACAATATCATGAACCATCAGGGAACTGTAATAAAATATCATTTTGCACCCACTAGGAAGGCTGTGATAAAAAATAAGATAATTTAAAAAAAAGTCAGATAATAGTAAGTGTTGTCAAGGATGTGAAGTGAGAACTCTCATACTCTATTGGTAGGCATATAAAAATGGTAAAGCCACTTGGAAAACATTTTGGCAGTTCTGCATTTGACCCAGCAATCCCACTCCTAGGTATATAAGTCCCAAATGAAAATAGATGTCCACACAAAAACTTGTATACAGATGTTCATACCACCATTATTCATAACAGCTAAAATGTGGAAGCAACTCAGATGCCCACCCAATGCATGGATAAAGTGTGGCTATCCATATAATGGGACATTATTTGGCAATAAAAAGAAATTTAAGTACTGATACATGCTATAACATGGTTGAACCTTGAAAACATTACACTTAGTGAAAGAAGCCAGATACAAAGGACCACATATTGTATAATCCCATTTAAACAAAATGTCCAAAATAGGCAAATCTCTTTAAGAGACTTGAGTGGACTGGGAGTTGCCTGGGAAAGGGGGCAGATCCTGGGGGGAAATGAGGAGTAACAATGAGTATGGGGTTTCTTTTGCAGCTGATGAAAATGTTTTAAGATTCTGGTGATGGTTGAACAACTCCAGGAACATACTAAAAACCACTGAATTCCACACAATTGTTAATTGTATCTTAATAAAGCTGTTTAAAAAAGCAAATAAAAATATGGCAACCTAGTGGGAATATCATAGATTTGTACCACCATTAAATAGTTAAAAGGCTATAGAGTGATTCCTATAATGAGCTCATTTAATTCTCCCATTGGTCCCTTAGAAACCACGTAACAGCCTCAATCACCTGCTGGTTCCTGGACACAGGGAGTCCATCGTGCCCCAGCAGCAGGTGTAGATCATGGTTGAATGGGATCCTTGATATGTCCCCTAGAAGGTGTGTGCTCCCTCTGGGGACCTGGATCTCTAACCTGGCAAAGCCCAGAGTTCCGGGGATCCTCCAGTGGGTTTTGGAAATGATGGTAAGTGGGGCTACTCCTACTTCTACTCCTTTGTTCCTGGACCGTGTATACTTTCTGTTCTGAATACAGCTCATATTGAAGTTTCTGGCTTGAATATTAAACTGGCATGCCATCTTTACAGAGTACTGTCTCCATATTGGTGCTTGGGTTGTGCTTTCAGTAGGCCATTCCAGTGCCGGCTTCTAGATGGTGTGGTAGATTATATAATTAATGGATCCATGGTCATGGGCTCATTCTTGCACCTCCTTCTCTGTAAATTGGGTCCCCTAAAAGGATGAAATGTTGCATAGATTCCATCCCTATGAACACATATTCCGTAAGCACCAACATAATTGTGCTGGCTGAGGTTTTGCAGATAGGAAAGGCAAACCCATTTCCATAAGTAATTTGAGAACAAATTACTGCCCTTTCAAGAATGGAAGGGACCCAATTTAACAAACTTAACATAGAATGGTTATGATCATGAGGATGAATGGTCTGCAGTTTTAATTATCTTATAAAGTCTTTGGTCTGGTTTTGGTATCAGAATAATGCTGGCCTCAGGAAAGAATTGGGAAAAGTCCCCCTTTTAGTTTCAGTAAGACACTGCATAGAATTGGAATTATTTATTCCTTAGAATCATGGTAGAATTCAACTAGTGGAACTACCTGGTATAAATGCTTTCTTTATTGGATGGTTTTTAATTTCAAGTGTAATTTCTTTAAGAGTTAACAGAACTTGTCAGGTAATTTATTTCTTATTAAAATTTTAGTAGGGTATGTCTTTAAATGAATTGGTCCATTTCATCTAAGTTAATGAGCTTACAAGCACAGAAGTGTTCACAACATCCCTTACTTATCCATTTAAAGTCTGTCAGTTCTATAATGATGCTACTTTCTAGTTTCTTCAGGTGGAAGCTTAGATTAATTGTTCAAGACCTTTCTTCTTTTTCAATATAATTTAATGCTATATATTTCTCCCTAAGCAGTGTTGTAGCTGCATCCTGCAAACCTTGATGTTGTTGGGTTTTTGTTTGGTTTGGTTTTACTGAAGAATAGTTGATTTACAGTATTGTGTTAGCTTCTGGTGTATAACAAAGTGATTCAGTTATACATACACACATATACATATATATATCCTTTTTCATATTCTCTTCCAATAAAATTTATTACAGGATACTAAATATAGTTCTCCAAGCTACACAGTGGGACCTTGTTGTTTATCTGTTATATATATATATATATATATTGTTTGTATCTGATAATCTCAAACTCCTAATTTAGGGGTGGGGAAGGGTCCCCTAAATTAGGAGTTTGAGATTATCAGATAAAACAATAAATAAGTTCATCTGTATCATATTTTAGATGCCATATAGAAGTGATATTATATGGTATTTGTCTTTTCTTTCTGACTACTTCACTTAGTATGACAACTTGATAATCTCTAGGTCCATCCATCTATGTTGCTACAAGTGGCATTATTTCATTCTTTTTTACGTCTGAGTATTCACTGTATTCATGAGTATTCCTTGTATACCACATCTCTTTTATCCATTTGCTGCTGGTGGGTTTTTTTTTTTGGCCACATCAGGTGGCATGTGAGATCTTAGTTTCCCCACCAGGAATCAAACCTACACCCCCTGCAGGGGAAGTGCAGAGTCTTAACCACTGGACTGCCAGGGAAGTACTGATGCTGTATTTTTATTACATTCTACTAAAATATTTTCTAATTCTTTTTGAGAATTCTTACTTGACTCCTGTATTATTTAGAAGTATGTTGTTTAACTTCCGAATATTTGGGGATTTTTCAGTTATTTTTGTGTTACTAATTCCTACTTTAATTCCATTACAGTCAGAGACCATACTTAGCGTGATTTAAATTATTTTAACATCACTGAGGTTTGGGGTTTGGCCTAGCTTACTCAGGATATATTCTGTGTGCAATTTTAAAGACCATGTATTCTGCTGTTGTTGGTAGGTCTATAAATGTCAATTAAGTAAAACTGATTTGATAATGTTGCTCAGGACTTCTGTATCTTTACTGAATTTTTTGGTCTACTTATTCTACCAGAGAAGAAGTAGTATTTAGCTTTAGTTTTAGAAAAGGAGTATTTAGTTTTCCAAGTATAATTCTCTTATTTTTCCTCAGCTTTGAATACCTTAATACACTGTCATTCTTGAAGGATATTTTTATTAGATACAGAATTCTGAGCTGATCATTCTTTTTTCTTTACAACCTTAATTATACTGTTTCAACACAGTTTCTGATAAGCAATCCATAGTTATTTAAATCACTGTTCCCATATATATCATGTGTCACTGTCAGTTTGAGGGCCCTCTTAGGAGGCTGGAGTTTGTTCTTATGGGACAGTGAAGTGGGGTGAGGAAGAAGGCAGGAATGTGGATGAAGGATGTATAATAGAACCACTTGTTGGCAGGCTCTCATCATCTCTTGTCTGGATCAGTATATATAGTGTATATAGTAAATATAGTGTATATAGTAAATGACTAAGAGAAACACAAATGTTGTATCATCTTTAAGGAAAAACACAAAAATCTGCAAAATTGGAATAAGACTGTCTCTCTATCAGAAATAAACTAGAATAAGATAATTCAGGCTTACAATCATCCTTTATCTCATTACCTTACACATGTTTTTCATAATAAAATAAATGGTTCCAAGGCCATCTCATCATGAGGATACCGAGATTTAATGCTTAAATTTTAACAAATTCTCGTCAGATACATTTTAGAATACTGTGAGAACTTATTGTTCTAAACTATTGAGAAAAAAAATCTTTGCTGTTATAATGAAATAAAATGCATACTTACTCTGAATAATATTTCTTCATTCCATTTTGGATTCAAAGTCTGAAAGATAATAAACACAGTATAACTAACTTTTCAATATTTCATTATACAAAAATAAAACAACGTATACTTAAAATTTTTTAAATACTAACCTTTTTAAGGGTTTTTGTTTGCACACTTGTAAAAACTCCATTCATTGGGTCATATAACGTCACTCGCACGTAAGGATCACTGTTAAAATTTTTAAAAATTTAATTGTTATTTATTCCCAAACTCAGGTTACTCAAACTACAAAAATCACAGAATTTTCCTTGTTAACAATTTCTACAATTATTTTCTACACTCAAAAGTAAGGGCTCCTTAGGCAGGGGTAAGTAATTATAGTAATCGTAGAATCTAGCTAAAAAGCTGAAATGCTATGATAGAGAAACAGACAAAGAACTAGAATCTTTTAATCACAATTCAATGATTTCCAACCTCTTCATATTTTTGAAATTTTGTTTAATTTTTTATTACATGCCTTCTTCTTCTGGGTTAAGAGGGTTAATCCAATGATTTTCAAGAATAGCTTTGTAAGACCTCAAGGTAGTTTCAAGTTATCTCATAGGTATAAACTCTTCTTACAAAATAAAGACAAAGCGTTTGAGTTCAAAATAATTGTGTGCCAGGTAACCCTGTACAAAGAGACATGGAGAAGGAAAACCTTGTGATATTCAGGTTTGCAAAGCAAAAGACTTGACATTTTACTTTTCCATGGTCAAATTTCTCTCACGTCCCTCGGGGATCCCAAGTACCCACTGTTTTCCACCACCAACTCCCTCCTCCCATTTCTGCTTGCAAGCTTGGTGCTACTGCTGCTGCTAGGTCGCTTCAGTCCTGACCGACTCTTTGCAACTCTATAGACTGTAGCCTGCCAGGCTCCTCTGTCCAAGGGATTTTCCAGGCAAGAATCCTAGAGTGGGTCAGCATGCCCTCCTTCAGGGGATCTTCCTGACCCAGGGATTAAACCCATGTCTCTCATGCCTCCTATACTGGCAGGTGGGTTCTTTACCACTAGTGCCACCTGGGAAGTCCCCGTCCAACCTGATCTCTTACTTTAATTGACAAAAATCAAAGGCATCACAATACTCCCAACATCCTGGTGTTTATCAGAGTCCATCCTACCCCAACTTCAATGATTCAGGTATTTCACCCAATCGCCCTTGTCCAGTGTCCTTCCACCTTCTCTGGAACCTTGCATCATCTATTTTGACTTAGGTTTTTCCAGTCATATAAATGTCATTAAGCTTCTCCACTCCCTGACTCTCCTTCATGCTTCCAGCAAAGCAAACTAGACTTTCTTCCTGTCTCAGTCAAAGTTCACAAGTGAAAAATCTGTAATGATAACACAGATAACAACGAACACATATGCAGCCATTACTCTGTGTCAGGCACTGTTATAAATGGTTTATATATATACATATTAACTTTGGGGATCCTGATAACAACCTCTGAGGCAGGTATGGTTATTATCTGTTTTAAACACAGTCAACTTTAAGTTGACTTAAAAAAGTCAACTCATCCCAAATGACACAGCTCGGAAGTGGAACAGTGAGGACTGAAACTAAGTACCTGGCTCCAGAGACCCTGTTCACAACCACGACAGCCTACAACCTCCCTTCCTTCGTTTCCCCAACAGCCAGTGGTCTTCAAAGCCCTATAATCTGGCTTCCACCTCTTTCTTTCAGACCCGGTCCATGAAAAGTCACCAATCTTGCTAAAACAATTGACACTTTCTAGTCACTTATTTTGCTGGCTTTCTATATGTTTGATTTTACTGACCATTTTCTCCTTGAAACTCATCTCATTTAGCTTTCATGACACAAGACCCTTCTGGTTCTTTCTTTGTTTTCTCTACATATTTCCTTCAAAATCTCACCCATGGTTTTAACAACTAACTGTATACTCACAAATATAAATATAAAACATAAATTCAAATATAAATATATATTCCTGATCTCACAACCCAGCTAGACACTTCCACCTGGATAGTTCACAGATAATATCTGTTCAAGAATTTTGCCCATTTTTAATTGGCCATTTTATCATATTATCACTAAGTTATAAGAAGTTTTTATATGCTGTGAATTAAAGGTGCTTGTCAGATACTTGTCTTGAAAACATTTTCTCCAATTGGTGGCTTGCCTTTTCCTTTTCTTAACTGTGTCTTTCAAACAACACAGTGTTTCAGACAGTAAAGAATCTGCCTGCAATGCAAGAGAGCCAGGTTTGATCCTGGGTTGGGAAGATCCCCTGGAGAAGGAAATGGCTACCCTCTCCACTATTCTTGCCTGGAGAATCCCATGGAGAGAGGAGCCTGGCGAGCTAGAGTACACAGGGTCTCAAAGAGTTGGACAGGACTGTGATTATCATTTTTACTTTCAACTGTGTCTTTCAAACAACAGAAGTTTTTAATTCTAATGAAGTCTGTTTCAACATTTTTCTTTCAAATTTTTATGATGCATATTTTTTGAGTCTTATTCAATAAATCTTTGTGTAACTCAGTAGAGCGAATATTTTCTATGTCTTCTGCTAGAAGTTTATTAATTTTAGCTCTTATTAATTTTCTATATTATATGTGATAAGGACAGAGCTTAATTTTGTTCCACACCTATAACCAGTTGTTCTAGTATCATGCATTTAAAAGATTATCCTTTCTCTTGAATTACCTTAATGCTTAAAGCAACTGACCACATACATGTGCATATGTATGCGTGTATGCGTGTGGGGGGGGGAGTGCGTGTACTTCTACACTCTTTATTATAGTCCACTGAACAATATAGCTACTCTTATGCCAATGCTGCTTTGTCTTGATTGTCTGTATACAAAATCTGGAAATTATGTTGCATAAATTCTCCACCTATGTGGCCTATGTTCTTTTTCAAAATTGTTTTGGCTATTCTGTGTCCTTTGACTTTTCATAACAATATTGGAATCAGTTCATCTGTTTCTCAAAAAAAGTGCTGGGATTTTTATTAGGATTGAGCCAAATCTACTCAATTTGGAGAGAAATACAACTCTAACAATAATGTATCTTCAATCCATGAATATGACAATGTTTATCCACTGATTTAGATCTTCGATTTCCCTGAGTTAGCAATGTTTTGTAGTTCTCAGTGTGCAGTACTTGCAAATCTTTTGTTAAAGTTATTTCTTCTAAGTTTTTAATTTTAAATAAATTTTAAATTTTAAAAATTCATTTTCCAATTGTTAACTGATTGATCAGTTCAGTTCAGTCGCTCAGTTGTGTCCAACTCTTTGCGACCCCAGCATTCCAGGCTTCCCTGTCCATCACCAACTCCTAGAGCTTGCTCAAACTCATGTCCATGGAGTCGGTGATGCCATCCAACCATCTCATCCTCTGTCATTCCCTTTAGAAGATGTAAGAATATGACTAATTTTTGTACCATGACTTTGTATCTTGTGGCCTTATATTTTAGCTCTAGCAGCTTTTTTTTTTTTTGTAGATTCCTTAGGGTTTTCTATGTACATGATCTGACTCTCTGCAAATAAAAAGGTTTTCTTTTTCAGTCTGTATTTATTTTTCCTTTCCTAGTCATATTGCATGCCTAGGATATCTAGCACAATGTTGAGCTGAATGTGAAAGCAGACAAACTTTCTTATTCATGAGTTTAAGCAGAAAGCATTCAGACTGTCATCACTGGCCATAATGTTAGCTACTATCTTTCTCACAGAAAACCTTAATCATTTCTACAACTTTCATCTATCCCTAGTTTGCTAAGAGTTTCCATCATGAATGAGTGCTCAATGATGTCAGATGCTTTTTCTGTTTTTACTGAAATGATTGCTTTTCTTTTATTCTAATAATACAGTATATTATATTGATTAACTTTCAGATGTCAAACTATTCTGCATCTTATTAGTTTGTTGACAGTTTTTATCATAAAAGGATGTTGAATGTTGACAAATGCACTTTCTACACCTACTGAAACAATCATGCTGCTTTTTTTTTTCTGGACTGTATTAATATGACAGAGGTTGACCTGAATAAATCTTATATTCATAAGAAAAATCCCATGTGCTGAAATCCATTTATCAGACATTCAAAACTCCACTTTAGTCATCATATGCTTACTGTTTGTATGGCATATGCATCCCTTCTCTTTCATCTTAGCTGTGTCTTTGTATTTTAAGTGCATCAGTTATAGACAGTACTTAGTTGGGTCTTCTTTTTCAGCCCATTCTAATAACTTCTACCTCATGTTCACCTTACTTCACTAATGTTTAATGCAATTGTTATGGTTAGATCTAGGTGTATCAAATTATTACTGGTTTTCTATTCTTTCTTTCCCTTTTCGCTCTCTCTTTTTTTTCTGATCATGTGTTCTTTTCCTGGCCTTTTAAGTATTTTTTTCCCCAAGAATCTCATTTTAAAATTTTGATTGCTTTTTAATCTATAATTCTTTAGATTAATTTTCAGCAGTTCATCTAGGTATTGCAATATACACTCTTACTTTTTATTCCACTTACACTTAATATACTACATTCTACTAAAAAGTTCATAATGTATACCATCCCTGTCCTTTATGCAATAATCATTATATGTATTCCATCTATAAGATAATAAAAAAACAATAAGCTGTGATATAAACAGGCATGCTTTTTAAAAAATTATGATGAAAAGAGCAAAAAGTCTTTCAGATGTTTCCAGATGGTTACCATTTCTGATGCTCTATATTCCTTTCTAAGGATCTGAGTTTCCATCTGCTATCTACCCTCTTTACCTGGGAGAACTTCCTTTAGATTTTATTAGAGTGCAGGTCTGCTAATGACAAAGTTTCAAAGTTTTATTTTATCTGAAAATGTTGTTACTTTGTCATCATACCAAAGAATATTTTCTCTGAATATAGTAGAGAATTCTAGGTTGACAGTTATTCTATTGTCCCATTTTTTATCTGGGCCCTGTAGTCTCTGGTAAGAAGTCAGTAGTCAATTGAATTATAGGTCCCTCGTATATAATTTGTCATTCTCTGAGTCCTTTGTCAGTCCTTTATACTTGGCTTTCGACAGCATGACTATTATGTGCCTCAGTATGTTCTTCTCAGTATTTATCCTGCTCCGTGATTTTTGATACTATAAACTTGTGTTATTCATCAAATTTGGAAAAAATATGACCATGATTTCTTAAAACAGTGTTTTGCCTCATTCTCTCTCCTCTATTTCTAGGACTCCAATTACACGTATGTTAGACTCTGTGGTATTATTTAACAAGTCCCTGAGGCTCTCTTTGTGTTAATTAAAAATTTTTTTTAATCTGTTTCTCTCTCACCTCCTGCTGAGAAATAATTTCTATTGCTCTACCTTTAAGTTTAATTAATTCTTCCTCTTCATCTCCATTCTGCTGTTAACTTCATCTAAGAATGTTAATTTAATATACTATATTTTTCAGTTTTAGAATTTTCATTTTTTATTGTTTCTAGTTTATTCCTGAGATTTCCAATCTTTTGACTTGTGTGAGCATATATTTTTCCTCTTCTGAGAATGTGTTTCATTTTCCTGTTTTTTTATAGATTATATAGCTTTGGATTCTATCTTAGACATTATAAATGTTAAGTTGCAGAGACTGTGGATGCTGCATTTTCTCTTTGATGAGAATTTGTGTTTTCATTTAATTCTATCATGTAACTAATTATCTTACTTGGACAAGAACCACAAGCTCTGTTTCTTGGGCAGCACCCTTGATCTCTGTTCTGATCTTTTGTCCTTAGTTAAGTTGTCTGCAATCTGCTATCATATGTGTGATTCGGGATCAGCAAGGAATGACAGTAGACATGGTTTGGGAATCTCCTTTCCAACTCTTTCCATTCCAGAATCCTCACCACTCTATGTTTTCTCCAGATTAAGTCTTCTGATTTCCTAGGGCATGAATATTATAATTTTTCCATGTTCTGATTCCATGTGACCTCAGACTAATTCATAAATTGGAGACTCACATAGTGCAACTCCCACCTCCAAACAGGCACTCTTCACTAGACTTTCACTAGACTCTACCTGCTCCGTTCACTCTCCACTGCCTTTAAGTTGCTGCTTTCAGTAATATGTTCACAGTTTATGGTTGTTAAATGATAAAGGATTAGTCAGTCAGAATTTTACTAATTCCCAGAAACAGAACTCACTAATGTACCTTGTAACTACCTTTTTGAGTTATACCTTTGCCTAATTTCACATATTCTGTAATTCAGATATCAAGGAATTTGGTAAACCACAAACTGGTTACAACCAACTTCATGTAACAGTTTACTAACAATATCACTCAATTTTTCATCTAACCAAAGTCAGAAAAAATTAATTAATTAATACAAAGTTTTAAAATTACATCCCAACTTATACTTACCTAGCTCCCAAGATATCCTTTTTGGCAAGGCCTATTCCAGCTATAACTTTTACCCTCACAATTCGGGAATTTTCCTAAAATACAAAAATTTACATTTTATTTTCATGTAATGTATAACTTAAATAAGACACATATCTTTAAATATATACATACCAAATAAGATAACAGGATATTAAAATTAATTGGAAGAATCTTTTTTCAGGAATTAATATGACTAAAAGTATACAGAGAAAAATAAAAATTGTATTGCTATATGTAATGACTGGATTATCTACAAAGAAAACCCAAAGAAGCTAGAGTCAAATTATTATAATGAGCAAAAATTTATCATTGTTGCCAAGAAAATCCAAAACCAAATTACTGGAACTTATATGGATTCATCATTTTTGCTAGGTATAAGATAACACAAAATTCAGAGTTCACAATCATTTGTAATAATTATTTAGACAGGTAAAATTATTTTAAAAATGCCATTCAATAAACTATATATTAAATAAAACTATAATGTATTGATATTTTAATGTATGAAACATTAAAATTCTTGGGTATCATAATAGCATGATGAGGTTTTATGTAAGAATGTCTTATTTTTAAGAGACACATATTGAAGTATTTAGGGATAAAGTAAGATAAAGTTTGCAACTCACTCTTTAATGGCTCAGCGAATAAAAAGTTGAACATGAGTGAATGTGTGTGTATATGGAAGTAAAGGGAACAACCAACTGTTGCCAATTTGTGGATCTGACTGATGGGTAATCAAGCATTCATTACACTATTGTTTTGTTGTCCCAAAGATCTGAAATTTTTTAAAATAAAAAGGTGGTAACTGTTATAAAACAGTATAACACAGTTTTGTATATATATACAATATATAACAGTATAGAACAATATAACTGTAGTAACTGTTATAAAACAGAATGTACATTTTAAAAATTCACAAATAAGCAAAACTGTCAGATACAGAGAAACAAAATTAAGAAAAAATGTCAAGATCTTTATGGATAAAATTTGTAAGTAAAGAAAATAAGGAAAATACAAATAAATGAAGAAGTTCACTATATTCATGGAAGTAAATATTTAATATTATTATATGTTTTCTCCAAAGTAAATTACAAATTCAATATAATTCCAACTCCCTTCCTTAAATTATTTCATAGATCTTAACAAATGATTCTAAAATTCATACAGAGGAGTGAGAATGAGTAAAGAAGTAAACAATAATATTTGATCACTATGTTATAGTATATATAAAAACAAACTTCTGATATATCAAATTTTAACAATGAAAAAGAAAACTTTAATAAATTCTTAAGATATTTTAGAATATTTCTGACATTGAAGAAAGAATTTTAAAAAATATAAACTCTAATCGAAAAAGTTGTTAGATCTGACACTAAAACTACATATCCTTTGTGTGAAAAGAGATGCCATGAGCAAAATTAAAAAAACAACAGGACACACAGAGTAGAAATATCTAAAATATATATACCAAGTGCAAATTATGATTATCCAGGGTATATTGTTTTTGTTTGGTGGTAAGTCCTGTCTGACTCTTTGCAACCCCATGGACTGTAACCCACCAGGCTCCTCTGACCATGGGATTTCCCAGGCAAGACTAGTGGAAGGGACTGCCATTTCCTTCTCCACGAGATTGACCCAGGGATCAAACCTGCATCTCCTGCATTTCAGGCAGATTCTTTACCACTGAGCCACCATGGAAGCCCATCTGGAATATATCAAGAACTCCTAAAACCCACAAAATAATACTTAAACAACATAATATAAGAAATCATACAGAATGTTCAATAAACACATGAAAAGATCCTCAATTTCACCAGTAATAAGAAAGATCTCTAGTGTACGTGCTGCCAATACAAACACAAGTGAGAACTCTAATACACTGTTCATGAGAGTAATTTTGAAGAGATAGTTGGCAATATTTATTGAAAGCTCTAAATCAATAGCCCAGGAATTTCACTATTAGATATATGCCCTAGATAAACTATCACTGACATACACAAGGCCAAAAGTTTCACAGTAGCATTTATAAGATCAACAAATGTGAAATAAATGTTGCCTAACAGAGAGGAACCCAACCAGTTCTATTCTAAAATTACTCCATCAGCCAGATGAATGGATAAAAAAGATGTGATACACACACACACACACACACACAAACACAAAATGGAATACTACTCAGCCACAAAAAAGAATGAAATTTTGCCATTTGCAACAACATGGATAGACTTGCAGGGCATTATGCTAAGTGAAATAAATTATATAGAGAAAGACAAATATTGTATGATATACTTATATGTGGAATCAAAAAAACACAACAAACCACTGGAATATAACAAAAAAAGAAGCAGGCTCAGACACAGAGAACAAATTAGTGGTTTCCAGTGGGGAAAAGTTGGGAGGGGCAACATAAGGGTGGCAGAGTAGCAAACTACTGGGTATAAGATAGGCTCAAGGATGTAGTGTACATCACAGGGAATGGTGCCAATATTTTGTAATAACTAACCTTTTAAAACTATATAAAAATTCTAAAACATAGTAAAATATCCCATCAGCAAGTAGTAGGTCATATTCCTTTTTGAGGAGAAATCTGGATGGGGGATAATATACATATCATAGGTATTTATTTCAGTCTTCTTCCATTTCTAAATACTTAGAACCACCCTCACTCCTGGAAGTTTCAGTGAATTAATATGATAACAGAAATATCCTCAAAGCTACAAAACTCAGACAACAAATTCATATAACACAAAAATCCTTGACTAGAGATACTAGATATTTTATAACTTTTCTCCATCACCAAATATTAAATACACAGCCGATCTTGCAAGTAAAAAGAGAAATCCTCAAGTATCAGAAATAAAGGCAACTGAAAATCAGAGAGGAAAACATAAACTGAAATTTCTATTTTCTGTGGGGACTGATTTCCAAAAATCTGAAGAGATTTACAGAACTACCATTTTTTCCTGGAAAGTCACTGAATAATTAGGTCAATTAAAATATTCCATTGGCCCTACAACTGAATTTTCCTATACTAGTTGACTGGGAAGTGGCTACTCTATTAAGTAGGTGCTAATTCCCAAGACTGATTCTGAAAATCAGATATCTTTTCAGGGATGACTTAATAAATACAAATTTTTTCAAGCAGTAAAGTATAATCAAAGGTGCCCTCAGAAAATAATGTTATTTGATAATCTTATCTTTTCTAAGTGTAGACAATTGTTTGTGATTTGCACATGATCTTAACTGAGGGAAGAAATTATCATTCCCTTCTAAAAAAAGCTAATCCACATTTGTTACTGTTAATCCATCTCCTGACTTAAAAATCACCTACATTAGCCTCTACTGAAACTATCCCCCAGAAGTCTCTTGAAGAAATGTAGCAAGCATTAAATAAAAACAATTCCAAGGGGTAATAACTTACAGTCACAGACACATTTAACTTTTAAACTTTATCCTTGCATTTTACAACCACAAAAATGAGAACTACTTACTTCAGATGCTGTGGTTAAATGATGTAAAGCTACATTGATTTAAGATTCTTTCAGGAAACTAAATAAGAAATACCATTTATTTTCATATTTGCATTCATATCATTTCATTTTATGTTTATGCTAAAAAATTGTCCCCACTGCTCTCTTTGATCACATCCATCATCAGAGATCACACCCACATTATCTTTGAAAATGAAGAAGGCCATATATGTTGCAACTAGAGACCAAACTCTTCAGTAATTTTAGAATCGTGAAAAGTACTATTAACAGAATTCTAGATACTACTCAAATGAGTAAAAAACAGACAAAAAAAAAAGGAAACATATTTTCCTTAATCAAAACAGAGACTTTATCCTCAAGTAGACCAGGGCTCTTCACTAAAGCTGGAATCTCCCCCTCTTTCACTCACAAGGGAGCTTGTTGAAAATTGCAGGCAAAGACGTGTGGCTTTTTTCAAGGACAGGGAGAAACAAACTGGTAATGTGTTATCAATGCAGGCAGCTTCAGTAATTAAAAGCAGGTTTCCAAAGGCTGAAATTTTCTCTACAATTCATGAAAACAGTGATTAATTATGCCTTAATCTTCTGTTAACCTCCCCCACCAAATAAATAAATAAAAACCAGGAACAGGAAATCCAGAGCTTTAAGTCTTTCCATCTCTCAAAGGTCTTGGGAGAATTTTTGTGAACCTCTTCATCCTTCTCCCCTCCTTTCATTGCCCACTTCCACCAGTATACTTTTTAAAAAGATATGTCCTGTGTTTATTTATCTCTGAGTTTTTATACACGCTGGAGTCCCTCTGCCTGGGAGATACTTCCCCATCCTCTACCCCTTCATTGTTAAAAGTCCTATATCATCTGAGCAGATTCTTTAGAGACCATTAAAAATGGAATTATTAATATTATTTAATGACAGAAAATAATTATGATGTTAACTGGAATAATCAAGTTGCCAAATGTTATCTATTCTGTGACAATTCCATGAAATCATAAATTCAGATGGATAAAGTAAATATGCAACAATGAAAATAGCTACCATCATAATGAGATAAAGGTTTGAAAATTTAATTTAAAAGGTTTGGTATAAATTTAATTTTTTTTCTTAAAAAAACTCCTGTCCACTTTTTAAAGACCAAATGCTATCTTTTCTGAAACTCTTGATATGAATTTTCCTTCTCTTTGTTAGAGGCTCAATTACATAGCATCTATCACATACCATCTTGTATCTGAGGCAATAAACTATGTGTCTTTCTCGCTTATTAAAATTGTGAATTTTTGAAGACCAAGAAACTCATCTTTATGTTTTCTCTGCATCCTCTATAGAATCCAGCAGATTACTTGGCAAACAGTAGGGGATGATAAATTCTTGATTAACCTCAAATCTTTCTGAAGTAGCTCAAAGTAAGAATAAAGTACCAAATTAAAAGCAAGGGAAAGTCTGCACAAACAGTGGGCTCCCAACCCCTTCACTTCTTGGGCCCAGAAGACTGGAAGACTTCTCTGTGAGGAAGTAAAAGGGGTTGGGGGTATATACTGTATGTGAGAATCCCACCACTATGGGATT